TCAAAGGAAAAAAAAAAGTTACAGTAATAATAACAAATAAAAAAAAAAAGTAAAAAAATGGCTCCATCAGGAATCGTACCCCTAACGGCCCTGCCCGAACAAAACTATCTCCAGCCCAAGTTCATAAGGGACGTGGACGAGCGGCCCAAGGTGGCCCACAACAAATTTAGCGACGATATTCCGGTTATCTCCCTTGCCGGAGTAGATGGCGGCGACCGCGCGGAGATATGCCGCAAAATCATCTCGGCTTGCGAGGATTGGGGAATTTTCCAGGTCGTTGACCATGGGGTTGACTGGGAGTTGGTCGAGAGCATGAACCGTTTGGCTCGCGAGTTTTTCGAATTGCCGGCCGAAGAGAAGCTCCGGTTCGACATGTCCGGTGGGAAAAAGGGGGGTTTTATCGTCTCTAGCCATTTGCAGGTATTTTGTTTTGTTTGTTTTTGTTGTTATTACGACGCTTTTTAGAGGACTAAAATATAGGTTATTGTGTAAGAACAATAAAGATAGGGGTTTTTTTTTTTTTTTNNNTTTTTTTTTTTTTTTACAAGTTGAAATTCACAAAATTTTGCATGTTGTTGTGATTGCATGATATGAGTGGATTAAGATTAACTATAGGAAAGTGTTGAAATACATCGTTTTGTCATATTTGGACATTACACATATTGAATTATTTTAGTTTTCGAGTATATATTGAACAACATACAAAATGATAATATATTTTGAGATTGAAGATTGTGAAGAAAAATAAATTGGGTTGGTTTTCTGAAATTTGACCATATTTGCAAAATATGTGTTGTTTGATGCATACAATGTATAGCTGATTGAATTAACGGATTGAATTATTGAATCTCGGCTAATTTAACAATTTTGAATATCTATTGAATTAATTAATTATGCGAAAAAAAAATTGGCAAATAATTAATTGTTTAGTGTGTAAACACAAATAATTGCAGTTTCTATTTTAAAAAGTCACTCTAGTGATTTTTATTCAATATCTTATTTCTTGTGAAGGATCATTGTTACCAAATTTTCTCATTCCTCGATTTTTCTAAATATTGAATTCAAAGTGTTCGTGTATTTTTATTATATACAAATATGCATATTTTTATATAAAACGTCATATTATGAGAAATAACATAAACAAAAAGATTGATAATATAAATATGCATATAGTATGCATATTTGTAGTATTGTACGGATAGTACGATGAGTCGACCAACCATACAGTTAGTCAGTCTCGCACAAGAATTTGCGTTATAAATGATAATGAGCCACAAAACTAGGAGAGTTTGTTGCAAATCATCCCTATTGGATGATATGTTGGTCCCAACAATATTAATTTCTCCTTCTCAAGCAATCCTCCTAAAGGCTATTATTTAAAAGAATTCCTAAAAATTGAAACCTTATATACTACCATAACTAAATTAATTTTGGAGGTTCACATTAGAAAATAATAATAATAATAATAACAATAATAATAATAATAATAATAATAATAATAATAAATAGAATGCCACTTTTGTCTTCCTTTTGTAGGGTGAAGTGGTAAAAGATTGGCGCGAGATAGTGACGTACTTCTCCTACCCAATAAAGGCCCGTGACTACACGAGATGGCCCGACAAGCCCGAGGCCTGGCGGGCCGTGACGGAGGCCTACAGTGAGAGTTTGATGGACCTGGGCTGCAAGTTGCTGGGGGTTCTGTCAGAAGGAATGGGCCTTAAGAAGGACGCTTGGGCCGAAGCTTGCATTGAAATGGACCAGAAAGTGGTGGTCAATTTCTATCCCAAATGTCCACAGCCGGACCTGGCATTGGGCCTAAAGAGGCACACGGATCCGGGTACAATCACTCTACTGCTCCAAGATCAGGTGGGCGGGCTGCAGGCGACCCGTGATGGTGGCAAGACATGGATCACGGTCCAGCCCGTGGAGGGTGCTTTTGTGGTCAATCTTGGTGATCATGGTCATGTAAGTTCATTTTTCTTTTCTTTTTATTGCTCCCAACAAAAAATTATACTACCTCCTATTTTAAATAGATGTCGTTTTGGGATATTGCACATCTATTAAGAATATTTTTTTTGTCAATAATAACCTTATTTAATGAAAATAGAGATGAATGTTTTGAAAAAAAATGAATAGTGATTATGAAAAGACGTGATGTATTTATTAGCTAAATGAGGGTAATAATGGAAAAATATGTACAAAAGATCTAAAATGACATTTATTTAGCAAATAGTTGATAAAGCTAGAATGACATTTAAAAAAAATAGGAGGGAGTATTAAATATGTGTGTATATTAGCATAAATTCTTTTGTGAGACAGCCGAACATTTAAATTAGGGTTAATTGCTAAATGATCCTTAACCTTTTTTCGTTTAGCAATTTTTTATCAATTTTTGGCACTACAAAAAAACACTACAATTCCAACGAAAAATTCCAACAGCAAAAATTTCCGTTGGAAATTCCAATGAATATTCCAACAAACTTAATTTTATGTTGGAATAAGTGTTGAATAGTTGAGGAATTCCAACAGATTTTTTTCGTTGGAATAGCTGTAGAAATTTATTTACATAGGATTTTCCATTGGATATTTGTTATTCCAACGGCCGTTTTTCCAGCGGATTTTTATACGTAGGAATATCCGTTGGAATAGCTATTCCAACGGAAATATAAAAAATTCCAACGGAAAATTTTCGTTGGAATGTAAGAGTTTTTTTTTGTAGTGTGGGCAATTGCAATATAATCTCGACCTCAATATTCTTATTGTAAGTTGAACCTAAAACCGGTTGGACCTTCAAAAAAACTGGTTGATTTGAAGGCGGTTCGAACAGATCGAAACTCATACTTACCGGTTCACTCCAGATCTAGGAGGACACACATCACCGGTAGCTTATATTGACGTGGAATTTTCGGCTTTATGCGTGGATATACATTAAATACGTGGAAATTGTCAACTTGCTACGTGGATGGCATAAAAATCAGTGTCAATGGAAAACTTGGACACAAAATCTATCCACAAATCCCTAAAATCAATCACTCTGCACCCAAATTTACAATAAGTAAATTGATGTCGAGATTATATTGCAATTACCTAAAGATTGGAATAAAATTGCTAAACAAAAAAGGTTAAAGTTTATGTAACAATTAACTCTTTAAATTATTATGTAGGTTGACCCATTATACTCTTTCAATAAAATTGTATATTCCAGTTTGAAAGTATATGTATCTATATAATCATTATTATGCTGATTTTCTAATATTTAGACTCTTTGTTATTTCATTGTATATTTATGAAGGAAACAATAAGTACAATAATATTCTTTTTTTTT